CAAAATCACCATATATTTAGAATTCGCTTCGGTTGTCTATATATATATTGAACTTTATTTGATCTTCTAATGATGAATGCAATATTTCTTGTTTGTCTTTAATAAAATTATCACAATAAAATATTTCCTATTAATTTCTTACTTGAATACCTTTGAATTTTAAGTTTTGTTATATATATTACGTTACTTACTCAGGAACGCAAGGCGTAAATTATCTGATGAAATCGAAAATGCTATCCTTTGAATATTTCTTTGAGATATAACTGTGAAAGAAATTGAAACGTTCTGTTTATTTTTAACACAAAACTAAATTTTTTATTTTGCTGAATTTACAAATAAAATTAATGTAAGTAAATGTCAACACATACTAAGTTTTTCAAAAAAAAAATTTTTTTATATATCAATAAATAATAAAGAGCCATAATACCAATAAACCTTAAGTCCACCTCAGGACGCACAGGAAGATATGCTGATCTACGGACCATCATCAATTAAATAAATGATAAATAAATTATAATAATTCTAGCATAGTTAAAGCTTAGTGTGGGGCAGGGATAAGCCCCCCAACCATAAAACATTAAAACTGCATAATAACACTAACTCAAACCACAACAACAACAACAAAATACCATAAAATTGATGTTTGTTATTATTATTATAATTTTTAATAGCATAGATTCAAACGTATACAATAATTCGGAAAGCAAAAAGTGGCGAAAAATGTTCTTCAACTCTTTTTATAAAAATTATATATCAAACTTCATCTGATGTCACTTCATGTCTGTGGCACCAGATCCAAGTCCAAAAATGATTTTCCATTAAGTCTTTTTACTTTAAATCCCACCAACTTTTGTCATCGGGAAACAAAAATAGCCAGTGTTAGTTATAAGAATCCGCCATCGAATAAGAGCTATGATGATTTTTTTACTTTGGCTAATGAAACAGTAAAAAAAAAACATTGACAAGTATAGCAGAACGGGTTTCAAAAACCACATTTTAATAGTGAAGAAATTAGCTAGAGCTTAAAATTGAACATGAACCACAAGGCTTCGATGTATTAAACACTAATCTAATAAAACTGTCTAAGACAGTATGGTCAACCAATAAACTAAATTTTTGTTTTTGTCTCTTCTTTTCTATTCGAACCTTTCTATTAGTTATAGAACTTTATTTGACTTTTATCTTCAAAAACTTAAAATCAATTGAACGATATCATTCATTAACCATTGAAAACTTTATTGAATGAAATCTTATTAAAACCGACTAGACTTCAAACTATTTCGCACAAATAATCTTTATAGTTAAAGTTTTATACACTTTAGCATATTTTTGCATTTTAGGTATAATTTAAAATCGCTCATTAATAAATCACAAAATTACGCCAAAAGATGTTTTCATTACAACTTATTTTGACGACCTACACAATATACGAAAGATACAAAAATAGAAAAAAACATTCATATTTAAATTTTCAATGATGAAAATTATACGCAATCACGCAAATTTTGTCCACAATTTAAATTTTTCTGTGGAAAATAGTTTAGCCAAAGGTGAAAACGAGCAAAATACCAGCACAAAGAGCTCCTTTGAATGGCAAAGAAGAAATTCTCGTGCACAGACCTTGTTTGCTTTCTTAGTGGTTTGTCATTTGACGTTTAATTGACAGCGACACGAGTTCCATAGCCCTTGTTTCCTTCAATCGATTTTCTGCACCTTCATTTTAATATTAGAGTACCTCACCGTAAATTTAGAGATTGTTATTCCGATAAAGTTTAGCGCTGCATTAGCTGCTCCGATTTGTAAAGTGTGCAGAAAGCGATTACTTCACGCAATTTTGTTTTATTAGCTTTAATAACATCAACCATTTAGTTTCAAGGCATGTCTACGGAGAACTATTTTTTATAAATAGTTTTAAGAAAGTTAAAAGTTGTAAAATCCATGGTCATGTAGGGGGAACAAAAAGTTAAAATTATATTTCAAAAGTTTAGATATATTAGGAATATATTAAATGTTTTTATATATGTTTCACAAGTAAACAGGAATTATTTAATAGCAAATATACACCCTCCGAAGGTGGTATATACTACTGACAGATTTTATATTTTTTGTTATTTATTATACAATTTTAAAATTAAAACCTCGAACTTTTATATTTCAGATGTAAATGGTTAAAGCTTTTTTCAATCTATCAATTCCTTCGTTGTTTAGTCAGTAGTCAGTAGAAGTTGGCTTATCAAACAATAGAAAAAATTAAATTCCATGCAGTGATCAAATCATTTGAAAAAACTTTAAAAAAATGGAAATGAATACCGAAATGATAAATTTGTTAACAGAGTTCACAATTTCAAAACAATGTTTTTTTCGATTAGTAACTCTAGATTTAATCTAACATTTTTATTACCCCAAATTCATCAAGACAAGATGATAAGGAAAGATATGAACCTGGATTTGATCTTCGAACTAAACCCTAAGCGAGTTTGTGATTAGAAATCGAAGGAGTTTTAATAAATGTATTATAATTAGTTTAAATCTTAAGATATTCTGGTTTTATTTCTTTTTATTTCAATTTATATTTTTATTCTTCGTGAAAATCTTTACTAATAAATACTAACAAAATGAACACCAACAAATAATTAACAAAAGGCTTTTTTTTCATAAGTAATCCCCTAAGCTGTTAAAATAATAAATTAAGCCCTACAACCCTACATGCATTATTCGATAAAATAAG